CATCCCAATTCAACTTCAATTCCAAATTCCAATTCCAACTTCAATTTTAAATTAAATACGGCAATTTCTTTATTTAAATATAGGAATTATAATTTGAGTCCAATTTTGTACAAGATTCCTATTTCATCTCAACTTTGTACCCACTATAAAATCCCTCCTTCCTCAACCCTAAGAACGGAGACAGAGAGAATTCAGAGATTCTTGGAGACAAGAAGGAGAGAAATCAAGAGCCACAAGTTGTCTTGGAAAGCTTGACTCGACGCGTCGAGTACTCTGGGCCCCGAACTTGTCCAAAATTGCTCCAAACTCATCCTTGAACTTCCCTTGCTCATAGAATTGACCTACAATGGTTCAAAAACACTAACAAACACCGTAAATCATTCAAAACAAGTGTGAACCATAATTAAATGATAATAGCAAGGAAAATATGAATTAAATAAGCAAAATTAAAGAACTAAAATACTAAGATGATTCAAAATAACTATAAAAACAAGCAAAGATGTGATAACATCAACTCAACAGATAGGGCTAAGCACAGACAGCAGTTATACCAAGCATATACAGTTTACAACAGGCAAGACAGATAAGATAAGCACAATTAATAATCATAACCTAACATATACAATTCCCAATATGAATCCCATAGTCACATCCCCAAGGCACTCATAACAACAACTCCTCCATATCTCATCACATAGCACACTTTGTTGGCGCCACAGGACCAATCGCATGCCCATACATGAGGGTCAGCGCATATAGCTCTGACACGGCCCCGCAGCACCCTGCCCGTATCGCAACACGGAGGGGTCGATCGCAACCGACCGATGAACCGCAGCTCATCATAGTTTGATCGCAACCAAACAGTGGACCGCAGCCCAAGAGTATGTCATCTGACCGCAGCCAGGAAATATGAACCGCAGCTCATGTAGAAACGTTTGATCGCAACCAAACGGTGGACCGCAGCCCGGGAGTGTAAATCTGACCGCAGCCAGCTTCTGAACCGCAGCTCAGGAATAACCAATCTGATCGCAACCGAATTGGGGTATCATGCACACATAACACATAGCAAGCACATGCAACCCACATTAACATATTGGGAAGGGGGGAGAAAACGTATAACAAAACCTATGCGTGATCCTTCACATACTAAGAATAATCCTAAGGGGTTCATACTTCTTTCACCTAGGTCAACGGGATACCAATTCAACTAGCATGCAATATATAAGACTCATACAACCTACGAACGGTACCCGAAATATCAAACTAGACATAGGCACGATAGACGGAGTCCGTTGGGACACCACGGGGATCGGGGGAGCATCAAACGGGGAAGCCAAAATCCCAAATTGGGTACAAACCAGCGGGTAGCCGGTGGGTGAGGGATCACCCGCCGGCGGCAGCTATTCCGGGCAGCGGGTGCCCGGCGGGCAGCTGCCCGCCCGCCGGCTGCCCGCTGCCGGCGTTGCCCAAGAAGGCCGCGGGTAGGTGGCGGGTCCCCTATCCCCCACTGACTCTTTTTCACCAAAAACGCCCCGGGAACCTTTGTGGAACCCGAAACCATGCTTAAACACTTTCAAACGCAATTGATAACACACATAGACAATTAACGGATCAAAGATCGAGAAACATATGGCACATAACCTATCATGCTTTTCTAAATATCATAAACACCCAATCATGCGAATTCCCACCCAATATACCAAGAATAATTCCATACGAATTCCACGATATAACCTAAGGTTCTAATTATTTTTAAATCAACAAGAACACAATTCATCTTCTAATATCAAGATTCGGTAAGAATATCACATAAACATCAAGAACATCCTACAATCATCAAGAACATCATATAATCATCAAGAACGACATATAATCATCAAGAACACCATAATTATCAAGAACCTTTCATCATCAAGATCACCCATGGAATCATCCCATCAATCATCAATAATAATATCACAAATCATCAATACACAATAATATGGGGAAATCCTAAGAGGGGAATCATAGCTATGAAAATAGGTTTTGTTGAGACATGGGTTACCTTTTAGCCTTAATTAATTCCTTGGCTATGAAGGGTCTTTCTTGAAGCTTTCTTCTTTCTTGATTTCTCCTAGGGGAATTCTTGGAACTTTCTTGTGTGGTGAGGGATTATTGTGGTGGGGGGGTTTCTAGGTGCCTCTTAAGTCCCCTATTTATATATTTAGGAGTCCTAATTAGGAACTAATATTATAGGCTTGCTAATTCTATTCCTTTTGAGACTAAGGATTGGGTTAGGGATAAGGGCCCGTGGACTATGGTGGGCCTTTCCTAATTAATTATTGTGATTTAATTCTTTCTTTTGGGTAATTGGTTAAATGATTAATTGGTTTTAGGGATCGTAACACGGGGTGTTACACGAAGTCTCTTTCGTGAACTTGTCCTGTATCATCTAATGGGTCGGGTTCTACCGGGTCTTTCTAGAAGCTTCCAGCTCGTACCAGGTGGGCCCAAAGGCCATGGCCTACGATGGGCTTCCGGCTTAGCAGGCCGGGTCACTAACATTCGACCCTAGCCTAGGGCAGATGCGCCGTTTGCAGGCTAGCCCTAGGCCTGAACCGTCGCCCCGCCTTTTGAGGCATTAAATGCGGCGTCCCTTCACATCCTGTCACCTCCGCTTCCTCCAACGAGGCGATGACACGTGGCCGTCGCTTGGGCTTCTCCTTCTTTTAAATAGCCATCTTCTTCCTCCTCCCCTCACTTTCTCTCAATTCTTCGAACTTAGCTCCAAGCACTACCGTTCTTCTCTGCATTTTCCTCAGTCCACGCTCAGGTTGGTAAATGTCTTCCTCTTCTCATTCTTCCTCTTCTCGTCGTCACTCGGTCGATAACCCAGCGGCGACCACCCCGTCTTCTTCTTCTCCTTCTTCGTCTTCTTCTTCTCCTCCCCGTCGCATGGAACTTCCGGCAGACGTTCCATCGACGTCTTCCCTTCCTCCGACCCCCTCTTCTTCGGGGGCGGTTACTCCGATGAGCCCCGCTTCTCTAACGACGGTGGCTGCTTTGCCGGGCGGCACCGGACGGCCGCGAGGCAAGTTCGATTCGATCGTCCGTCCTTCCAGGCCACCGTCCATCGTTACTGCGGCGGACCTGGAAATGGCCCAATTTCTTCTTGGGCCTTCGGCCGTAGTCCTCGCTCCAGAAGGCCGGCAAATTTACGACCCACCCGAGGGTTGTGTCGGCATTCATTTGCACTCAGTTGCCTTTGGCTTCCGAGTTCCTCCGTGTCCTTTCCTCTCCCTTTTTTATCGTCATTACAACGTAGTTCCGGGCCAACTAGTGCCCAATTCTCACCGACTCCTCACCTGCTTCATAAACCTCTGCCATTGGTGGTTGTGCGAGCCGGATCTAGACCTGTTCCGGTATCTCTTTACCGTGAACAAGGTCGGCTCACACTCGCCGGGTTTTGTCCAAGTTGCCGCTCGTCCGGGGCGACAGCTTTTCGAGGGGTTGTCCGACTCCATTAAGGACTGGAAATTACTCTATTTCTTTGTCCGACCTGCTTTCTCTTCCTTCACCTTCCCGACCCTGTGGCCGGCCGCTCAATTCAAGCCTTGCTCTCGGCGTGCCGTCTCTACCAACGATGCGGTCCAGGGCGGCGGGTGATAGACGCTCTCCCGGCGGCTGAAGGACCGGCGACGGCTGCTGATCCGGCGGCTCCTCCCAATTTCGCTGAGTCCTCCCCTCAGGCAGAAGACCCTTCTTCTGTTCCCCCAGCTGGACCAACGGCAGGGGCACAAGTTGAAGGGGTCGATGTCGACACCCCCTCCACAGTAGCTTAGGGTTATTCTTTTAGGATAGCCCCTTTTTGTAAAGGCTGGCCTCCTTCTCGGGCCTTTTTTAATTTTAATAAAATTCCCTTTTTCTCTTTCCTTCTGCGTTGTCTTGGACTCGATTAACTTCTTTGGGGTTCTGGAAATCGAAGAAATATTTCTAAGGCAGTGGGCCCTCCTCTTGGCTTTTTTATGGAAACGACTAAGGGTCTGGGCCCTTGTTTCCTAACTTTTCTCGCCGAGTCCCTCAGTCGAGGCGACTCCTCTTGGCTTTTTTATGGAAACGGCTAAGGGTCTGGGCCCTTGTTTCCTAACTTTTCTCGCCGAGTCCCTCAGTCGAGGCGACTCCTCTTGGCTTTTTTATGGAAACGGCTAAGGGTCTGGGCCCTTGTTTCCTAACTTTTCTCGCTGAGTCCCTCAGTCGAGGCGACTCCTCTTGGTTTTTTTATGGAAACGGCTAAGGGTCTGGGCCCTTGTTTCCTAACTTTTCTCGCCGAGTCCCTTAGTCGAGGCGACTCCTCTTGGTTTTTTTATGGAAACGGCTAAGGGTCTGGGCCCTTGTTTCCTAACTTTTCTCGCCGAGTCCCTCAGTCGAGGCGACCCCTTAGGCTTTTTCTTTCTCAGAAACGTTTTAGGGTCAGTGCCTCGTTGTTTCTTTATATACTCGCCGAGTCCCTCAGTCGAGGCGACTCCTCTTGGCTTTTTCACGGAAACGACTAAGGGTCTGGGCCCTTGTTTCCCAACTTTTCTCGCCGAGTCCCTCAGTCGAGGCGACCCCTTAGGCTTTTTCTTTCTCAGAAACGTTTTAGGGTCAGTGCCCCGTTGTTTCTTTATATACTCGCCGAGTCCCTCAGTCGAGGCGACTCCTCTTGGCTTTTTCACGGAAACGACTAAGGGTTTGGGCCCTTGTTTCCCAACTTTTCTCGCCGAGTCCCTCAGTCGAGGCGACCCCTTAGGCTTTTTCTTTCTCAGAAACGTTTTAGGGTCAGTGCCTCATTGTTTCTTTATATACTCGCCGAGTCCCTCAGTCGAGGCGACTCCTCTTGGATTTTTCACGAAAACGACTAAGGGTCTGGGCCCTTGTTTCCCAACTTTTTCTCGCTGAGTCCGGGCGGTAGTTAACAGTAATTCATACTCTTTTATTCAAGTCTTTCAGTACCCTCGGGCCTATACATGGCCTACCCTTTTCTACTGATAGAATTTCTTCAAGTGGATGACATTCCAGATTCGGTCCACAGGCTTGCCTTCCAGAGTTTCAAGCTTGTAAGTGCCGGCCTGGACCACCGCGGCAATGCGATAGGGTCCTTCCCACTTTACCGCGGACTTGCCTCCTTCCGTGGGCTGGCTCGCTTGCCGGTCTCGTAAGACGAGGTCGCCGACCTGGAAAGTTCGTGGGCGAATCCTCCGATCGCGATATCTTTTTACCGCTTGTTGATATTCGACCATCCGAGCACTCGCGGCTTCTCTTCTTTCTTCTAGGAAATTTTTCTCAATCCGAAGACTTTCTTCATTCTCCGTGTCGGAATAAGTGCGGACCCGGTGAGCGGGCTCGACCACTTCAATTGGGACCTTAGCTTCGAAGCCGTACGCAAGGGAGAATGGGCTCTCTCCGGTAGCTCGCCGCTGCGTAGTGCGATAAGCCCATAGGACTCGGTCATGCTCATCTGCCCAATTTCCTCTGATATCTTCCAATTTCTTTCGGATTCCATCCACTAGGGTCCGATTCACATTTTCGACTTGCCCATTGGCCTGCGGGTACGCCACGGATACCTTGGTATGGCGGATATCATGTCGGCGGCAAAAGTCAGCAAACGCTTGGCAGTCGAACTGTCGCCCATTATCACTGACAATATGCTCGGGCAAGCCGAAGCGGCAAATCACCCTCTTCCATAGGAAGCGTCGGCATTGGTACTCAGTGATAGTGGCCAACGGTTCAACCTAAACCCACTTGCTGAAATAGTCGATAGCTACGACACAAAATTTCAGGCCACCGGGGGCTGTCGGTAGCGGCCCCAACAAGTCGATTCCCCACTTAGCAAATGGGATAGCCGTGGTGACCGGCGTGTAAAAGGTAGCCGGCCGAGTGTCCTTTCTGGCGAACGCTTAGCAAACGCCACACTTGGATATCCACTCGATGCAATCTCGCATCATAGCCGGCCAATAATACCCCTGGACGACTAACTTTCGGGCGAGCGTGTGGGCGCCCTGGTGTGCGGCGCAGATGCCTCTATGAGCCTCGTCCATTATTTTTTCGGCCTCAGGCCTGAGCAAGCATTTCAATAAAGGACCTCCGAACGACCGCTTGTATAATTGCCCATCAATAATTTCGAAAGAGGGGGCTTTTCGTCGAATCCTAGCGGCGACTCCCGGGTCTTCCGGCAATTCGCCTGTTTCCTTGAATCGCCGGATGTCCTCTATCCAGAACATCTCGGGGTTCTTCTCTCGGTCCCATTCCTCGCCAGTCACCCGTTGGACTTCTACTGTTGCCTCCTCGATACTCGGTCGTTCTAACTCCTCCTTTTAGCAGATCTTCACAAGGTGATCCGGTACTCCCTCCAAGGCAATCTTAGACAATATGTCGGCTTCCACGTTGTCCGCTCGGGAGATGTATTCTATTTCGTAAGCTCTGAATTTCTTTAACATCTCGACCGATCGCTCTTTATATAAAGTCATCCGCGTGTTCCTAGCCTCACACGTGCCGGAGATCTGTCCGACGACCAACCTGGAGTCGGTCTTGATTCTCAATCGCTCGACTCCTAAGGCCTGGGCGAGTCGAAGACCATTTAGCACAGCTTCATATTCGGCCTCGTTGTTGGATGTCGGAAACAGGTAGCTTAAGGCGTAGTATAGCCGGAATCCCTCCGGAGTGATGAGCATAACTCCACCCCCGCAGTGTCTTCTACTCGACGCTCCGTCCGCATGCATTTCCCACCATTTGCCTAAACTGTTCTCCGTGGCGTGTTCCTTTTCTTCTTCGCTCACTGTGCATTCGACCAAGAAGTCGGCCAAGGCTTGACCTTTTATGGAAGGTCGGGGCTGGTACTCAATCCCATACTGGGTTAATTCCACGGCCCATTTCACCAGTCGGCCGGACGACGAGGGGTTTCGCAGGACGCTTCCAAGCGGTTGGTCAGTCAACACTCGGACGGTGTGGGCTTGGAAGTATGGTGCTAGCTTTCGCACGGTAATCACCAACGCGTATACAATCTTTTCCAGGGCGGTATACCATGACTCGGCGGCCTTCAGGGAGCGGCTTACGTAATAAACCGGGTGCTGAACGCGCTCTTCTTCTCGGACTAGCACCGAACTTACCGCCTTAGAGGAGGCTGCTAAGTATAAAAATAAGGCCCGCCTGGGGGGTAGACAATACCGGGGGTGTTGAGAGATATTGTTTCAACTCTTCAAACGACTGCTGACACTCGGTGGTCCAAGCAAATCCCTCCTTCTTCTTCATGGCCTCGAAGAAGGGCACCGTCTTATCCGCCGCTTTGCTCAGGAAGCGGCTAAGGGCGGCCAGTCGACCAGTCAATCGTTGCAGGTCTTTGATGGAGTTGGGAGGCTGCATGTCGACAATGGCCTGTACCTTCTCCGAGTTAGGCTCAATACCTCGCTTGGTGACCATATAGCCCAAGAACTTTCCACCTTGCACGGCGAAAGCACACTTTTTGGGATTCAACCCGAGATTATATCTTATCATTACTTTAAAACAGTCGACCAGATCTTCCGCGTGTTTGTTCTCCTCTCGGCTCTTGACGAGCATGTCATCGACGTACGCGGCCATTGATTTTCCCAATAAGTGCTGGAATAGTCGAGCTACCATTCGCATATATGTAGCCCCGGCATTCTTAAGCCCAAAGGGCATGACTCGGTAGCAGTAGACTCTGTCCAGCGTTAGAAACGCGGTTTTTTCTTTGTCTGCCGAGTGCATGAAGATCTGATGGTACCCCCTGAAGGCGTCCATGAAGCTCAGCAAGGCTGACCCGGCGGTCTCATCAACCAATTGGTCAATCCGCGGTAATGGAAAAGGGTCCTTAGGGCAGGCCTTATTAAGGTCGGTATAGTCGACGCACATTCGCCACGCCGGGGGCTTCGGTACAAGAACCACATTCGCCAACCACTCCGGGTATTTAACCTCTCAGACATGTCTGGCTGCTAACAGCGTGCTTACCTCCTTTTTTACGAATTCTCTCCGATCATTGGCCAGGTACCGCTTCTTTTATACGACTGGTCGATGCTCAGGGTCTACGGCGAGTCGGTGCGATATAATGGATCGATCGACACCGGGCATGTCCTCTTGACCCCCAGCGAAAACCAGCCAGTGTTCCCGGAGCACTTTTATGATTTCTTCTCTTACCTCCTGAGGGAGACCGACTCCAATTCGGACCCGCCTGTCTGGTTGCTCAGGATCGATCTCGACTTCTTCCAATTCAACAGCCGGCTCAAAGCGAGGTATTATTGTCTTCTTCGGGGGCCTTTCCGTGATCTCGTGGACCTGCATCTCACGCTTGCCCATTCCTCGGCAGGCTTGCAAGTAGCAGTCGCGGGCGACCTTCTGGTCGCAGCGCACCGTACCTATTCCATTAGGCGTGCGGAATTTCAGGCAGAGGTGCTCGATTGAAATCAGAGCTCCTAGGTCCTCTAGACCCGGTCGGCCAAGTATAGCGTTATGCGAGTAGGCCAGATTTACCACGATGAATTTCATACTGAGTTTCTGTACGTCTGGGTAACTGCCAAGCTCAACTGGTAGGGTGATGGATCCTTCTGCCTCCACCGAGTCCCCGGTGAAGCCGGCGAGTGGAGTTTTGACGGGATTCAGCTGTTCTCGGGTCAATCCCATTTTAATGAAGGTCTCCAGATATAGCACATTAACGTTGCTCCTGGTATCAACCAGGATTCGGCGAACGACTACCCCCTTGATATCCATGGCTATAACCAACGCATCTCGATGCGGCGTCTCTCCTGCCGGTAAATCTCTATCGGTGAAAATGATGGGCTCTCGGCACGCCTTCTTAGAATTCTCCTCGCGCCCATACACTGTCCCGACATACAGCTGTCGAGCCCAGGCCTTTTGAGTGTTTGCTGAGTCTCCACCTTCCGGCCCGCCGACTATCATGTTGATAACCGGCTTTTGGCGCCACTGGGCCTCGTCCTCTTCAGATGCCGACTGCTTGCCCCGTCCGCTCTTGGCGGCGGCGGCGGGGTCCTCGTCCCCTCGATTGGCCGACCTCCGCCCGCCTCCATTGATTAGGAGGCGGGGTTCCTTGTTGGATGATACCCTCCATGATCTTCTTCAGGTAAAAGCATTCTTCTGTGCTGTGGGTATAAGATTTATGGTAACGACAATATTTAGAGGTCTTACCCGTCTCTTCGTTCGTCGCGCGATCATCAATCGGCGGAGGCGGAGGCGGAGCGACCGCTTGTATCTCATGCACCGGCCGTTCAGGAGCCGGCCGGTAAGGGTGTGCGACGGGCCGGTCGTATGGCCGCCTGACTTCGGGTCGTCGGGTTACGTCCGGGCGCCTTTCCTTGGTTTCGGCTCGCGTTCTCTTTCCATTAACGGATTCGCCGACCTCACGCTGTCGTTTGTGTTTCATAGCCTGCTCTGTGTTGGCCCTCTTGTTGTCCATATGAATGGCTTCGGCGTAGGTTGCCGGGCGATTGTCCCGCAGATCTCGGTATAGCTGACCAGATTGCAGGGACTCGATGAAGAAGGTGAGTGCCGTCTGGTCCTCGACCTCCTCTATAGACTGGATTTCTTTCTGCCAACGGGCCAGGCAAGTTTTTAAGGACTCGCCTTCGTCCTGATGAATGTCGCCTAGGTGTGTCAGATCTTTTTGTGGTTTGATATTAGCGGCATAGTGGCTCTTGAAGCGGTCCGCTAGTTCTTCGAAGCTACGAATCGACCCCGGCGGCTGCGCCACTAGCCACCTTTGTGCTGGGCCTTTTAAGGTGGGCAAAAAGGCGCGGCACATGACCGGGTCTCGAACTCCCAAGACCTGCATTTTGGCTTGGTAGCTCAGCAAGTGCTCTCGAGGGTCGCCAGTCCCATCGAACGTGGCTTGCTCCGGGAACTTGAAATCACCCGGTATCTTAAAGGCCATGACCTCGTCCGAGAAGGGTGAGGCGGTTAATAACGTACGTCCTGGGGATTTTGCTTTTCCCTCCATCTGCTCTTTCAGATTTCGCACTTCTTGGACTAAGTTTGCCACTTCGACCCTCTCCCGGGTGTGGTTTCCTGTCGATTCCGTGCTCTCACCGACCTCGGACTCGACCGGTTGGTCATGGTTGCGGACGGGCTGCTCTATGCGACGAGCCTCAGTCCTCGTTCTTCTGGTACGGTTCTTTTCGCGTGCAGTTTGCCGATCGCGAGCAGCTAACGGTGCACGACTGGGTTCCCTCCGACCCAGTCGTTCTCTTGACGACTGCCGTCCGGCGCTCGGACCCAACCGAGAATGAATGGACTGTACCGGCTGGCTCTCGGCCCGGCGGTTCTGTTGCCGGTCATCGGGCCTATGAGACGGCTGCTGATTGCGAGTGACGGACTGTTCTCTTACTCCTCGGCTCGCCTCGGCGCAGGCACGCCCAATTGCGCGTAGTTGCTCAGGCGTGAGCTGCACCTAAGGCGGCTGTTGATTCATCGGTGGTGTTGGCGACGGCGTTGTCTCGTTTGCCCGGCTCCGAGCGTTTCTCCGATTCAATTGGTTTCTTAAGTCCGCCCCCAGTCTGTCATCGTGTCGGCTTGACTGTTCCTGACTTCCTGCCATGTTAGGAGCTTTTCTAATCTCTTGCGACCGAGATTCTTCCTGTCGTTTCTTGAACTCGCCTCGCTCAGGAGGACACGCGACTCTTAGTTTCGATCCCCACAGACGGCGCCAGTGATGGTTTTTGGGTTTTCGGGCCCAAGGAGGTCCAACACATATACAATTATAATAAGAGCCAATAATGTTAGCCCTTAACTGGAACAAAAAAATGCCGGTCCTATTGTTTATTAAAATGAATGGTTCATATTATTTTGATTTTAGTATTTTTTTTAATGATTTTCCTTATTTACCCTCTATTATATTATTTTCTTCACTTAAATAACCTAAATTCCGTTAGTATAAACTTTAGTAACGGAATATTTCGTTAACTATTTATTATTTTTAACTTACTCATTAATTGATATAAGAAAGGTCTTAGGTTCGAACATCATTCCAATTAGGGTTGGCATAGTTGTTAAACATATACTGCGAATATTTTAAAATGTATTAATATATATATATATATATATATATATATATATATATATATATATATATATATATATATATATATATATATATATATATATATATATATATAATTTAACATAAATTTGGTCAAATAATTAGTCCGACTAAATATATAATATTCAAAGTTAAGCATCAAAGATTATAAATCAAGAACTT